TCTGCCTGATTCTCTCCCTTTGGCCCCTGACCCCTTCTATCTCCCAACTGCTACCCCTCTTTTGAGCCCAGGGTACTCTCAACTTTTCTGAGAAATCTTTGTGGCCATCTGATTATTATTTAACCACTCTTTTTCCCACGACTGGACACATGATTTGCTCTTTCTTTTCTTTCTTTAGGAGGTATCAGCCATCAGACAGAGAGAAGGCCTACAAAAGTGATTCTTAATCTTGGCAACGGATGTGGCCCCAGAAATTTTGAGTTGGTGGCAGTGCTGCAGTGGGAGAAGTGTGGGAGACAGGGCAAAGAACACATAATAAATGAAGATGTCATGATAAATATATCATTTTGTGCACTAACTAAAAATGCAATCATTTTTAAAAGTTGCAAATAAGTACAGGAATTCCTGGCAATTGGAAACCTAGCTCCCAACACTTGCATTTCTGTTCACACAGCACCCTATGAATACACCACTTGGCCGGTCAAGAAAGCCAGTGTCCACCCACACTTCCACAAAACTCCACTGGAGTCCTCCTACCGCACAAATTAACACGCATGCCCAGCTATAGGTGTCCAGTGCGCTCGCCAACCAGTCAACGAAGATTGTGCAGCGGCTTGCACGGCCTCCCTTGATCGCTCCTGTTCAGAAAGCGCTGCCGGCAACTCATCCCTCTCCCTGCTCCTGCCTCAGCCATTTATTGTCTTGTGTGGAAACTGCTCTTTCCAAGTTTAAGCTTGGTCAGATCTTGGTGAGCCAAACTGCTAAATAATTTTCATGTGTAAAATTAAAAACAAATAGCATATTTAGGTGAACTACCGAATTCTGCGAGTCCTGGGAGCTGGCCTAAGAAAAGGAGCAGATCTTGAGAGTTTCTGGCGAGATCCCCCAGCTCGGCGGCGGCGGCGGCGGCGGCGGCGGCGGCGGCGGCGGCGACACTTCTGATAGAGCCTGCTCATCCATCAGGCCGCAGAAGTGACCAAAACTCCCCAATACTGGAGTGTAAAAATCGCCCCAAAGAACAGTGTCAACTCCAAATTCTGTCAAATTTGGTGAAATGGCAAATAATTTTCTTGAGCAAAAGTCTCATTAAGTGAAAAGTAAACTGAGGATTTTGTGTGCTTGGAAAATTGCCTGAGGATCTACTCCACCCTGATGCCTTTGTTTCCTCTTAAAAAATAAAATAATACTAAAAGTCATCCCTGCACTCGTGTGTGACAGAATACTATTTCCACTCAGTAGCTAATTGTATCAGAAAAATAAACGCAGAGATGAATTACCAAAAACGACTGTACTGAGCGCATCATTTTCAACAAGAGCCTCTGACCATCTCCCTCTCAACCTCAGCATGATCTTAAGACTTTAATCTTTTTAAAGTTAAATATGGCTAGGTTGTCATAATCAAGGAAAATATCATGCTTAAAAACAAACAATTAAAAGATCACCTAATTCTACAGATGAATATCTGAGGGCACTCATGACATTATATGACATTCTCTTTAACACCTTACAAAGCTTAAATTGAATGCTTACTTGTCTAGAAATAATGGGTCTATAGTAGATGAGTCAGAAATAAATCTGTATTATTTCTTTAGCAGGGGAGTTACTGATAAGACATGCGCTGTAAAGAGCGCTAAGGGTGTTTTACATCACAAATAGATCATAGTGAAAAGGACTGTCTGGGTTTTTACAGTAGGAGGGGAATTGAACAAAGTCTTTCCTCATTATGCCTACGAATTACATCTCAGCACTACCTCTCTCTATGAATTACATCTCTTCTTAACATTGTCTGTTGGCTCAGCTGAGGGAGAGATGGTTACCTCTGGGAGGAGCAGGGTCTTCCCCAAGTCCATATCTTAGCCATGTTCCTATTTTGCACCCCTCATGATGATGAGCCACAAATGTTTCCACAGTACACATGTGTCGTGCATACCTTCTATAGCCCACATCCCTCAGCATGGACACTACTACCAAAACCCAGAACTCAACAAGCATGCCCCCTAGAAATTCTGAATGCCAACAAGTTCCAGAATCTTGAGGTGGTTTCTCTGCCTTGAAAGATCATGTTAAAGACATGTGGTATGCTTTCTCTTGACTATGAAAGTGGCGCATCAGGGGCGCGCGGGCAGTAGTCTTTGGGGATGGCACCATTCTTCTTTCTAACTCCTCAGATTCTGTTGTGAGTTCTGTTACAAGTACAGGGACGCACACAGCCAGAAGAAAAATGTGCCTGTACCTCCCTTTAAAGAAGGCAGTTTGCCTGAGAGGAAGGCAGTAAGGAAGGGATAATCTTCCCCCATGGAAACCAGAGTGCCCCCTTCCAGTCACTAAAAGTCACCAAATTATGTCTCACATTGTATCTTTCCATTAACCATTTTCAGCAGGAATCTTGTTCCAAATATCCAGACACACAATCTCTTTTCTATCTTTTTGCTTTATGAACCCTAATCAAAGTTGGTCATTTTAGCAGGAAGGGATTCTCTAACCCTTCAGCTAAGCCTTGAGTTTTTTTCTTCTTTCTTTTTTAGATGAAGAAGATTGCTGTACTTTTGATGAGGCATCTCTTGAAGGTTGATCTCTTGCATTCTGCTCAGTGATGTCCAGATTAGGATGTGCTTTTGCTACAGCTGCTGAAGGTGTCTAATTATAGACAGAGCTGGGCTGTGGACCATTTTATTTAAACCTCCCACTTCCTCACAATGAAATATACACTCTCTCCACCATGCCAGATCTCTTAGGACCCCACCAACCTCTAATTCCCACATCATACTAATAATGTTCATAGAGTCCATTGCTTTAGCAAAAATGCTTAGCCCATACCTTTTGTACTTAACTGTTCTTTGAAGCAGGTTGAACACTCTAGCTTGTACCAGAAGAATATTGTACTGGGGGGTACAATTCCTCCCTGCGCTAAGAAAAAACATTATTGTCTATATTTCTTTTTTTTAGGTAATTGGAAATATTTTTTAAGTGGCTGGTCTGCCTCTCCTTTAGTAGCCCCAAATCTAAACTTTAAAAGATAGAGGAAGTGATTGAAAGTGGTAAATACCTTTTCCAGGCATTCAGTTTGTTGGCTTTCCGACCAAAAGGGGCCTTTGTTAGATCTCTGCAAGGAAGCTAAATCCAGCCCCCAGCAAGCACTCCTTCACCTCTTCCCCAACCCCCTCAGTTCTCTTGTCTAACTTGAAAATGAACTTGGACTTCCTTCTCAGACAGGCCCTAAAACCAGGAGAGATTTTATTTGTCTGTTTCTGAAGTGGGGGAGGTGTTGAGGGAGGCAAGCGGAATGGGAGGCTCTTCCCTGAAGCTTGGGGCAGAGTAGGAGGAGACACTTTGTTAATCTCTTAACTCCAGATTAATTCTTTGAACTTTTTAATTTTTTTTTCTGGGTGACAGATTGACATGCTACCAAGAGAAAAGGGAGTGTGTGGGGTGAGGATTGGGAAAGGGCTGGGAAGAGATGAGGTGTTTTGGAGACAGGCTCTGTGAGGAACTTTGGAGTTAGGAGGTTGGTAAACTGAGGAAGGAGAGATATCATTGATTCACCTTGAAGGGGACACCTGAGGGCTTTGACCCAGTGTGGTTCCACAGGTGAAGTCTACAGCTGAGGGCAAGCCAGGTGGGAACTCAGCAGAAGAACGGCTTACTGCATGGCTCTCCACTGAATTAGAGAGAGAGGTTTGGGGCAGCCTAAGCCTAGCCCAGCACTGTCCTCCTAGTCAGAGGACAGAGAGAAGCAGATCTTTCTGCTGTTTGAAAAGGGCCTGCATGAAGGCAAGTTTGGGTCAAAGAGTGTAAAATTCTTAAACAAAGAGCAAACTTGGTCCCAGCTCCCCTGAAGTCGGGGGCCAAAAGAGGTTAGAAGAATAAAATAGAAGATGCCAAGAGGGCAGCTGAGTTTCCAAGCAAGGAGAAAAGGCCCACTGGCCCTTCTCTGAGGCCAGGCTCTGAGGTTGGAGAGAGAAGAGAGAGTAGGTTCCTGAGGGATTCTGGGCCTAGGATCAGCTACCCTGACCTTCCAGAAGGAGAAAGAAAAGAGACAAGGAGGGCACAGCGGCACCGAGTTTCGCCACTTTTCCTCTTTGCCCATCAGCATTGCTCTTTGCAGTCCACCAGGGATTTCCTCCCTGTGTGTGGCTCTCCACTTTCAAACACACTCATATGAAGATGCCCCTCACGGGCCTTTTTGAGCCCCAGTTCTTTCCTTAATCTCAAACATCCCTTTCTTTCCTAGATAGTCAGACCCTGTATTTTCTATCCTTCACAAATCAAATCTCTTCTGTCCTGCAGCCAGGACCCTGGACAGGAAAAATGTCCCCCCCCACACACACACACTATTGCGCCTTATAATGTCCCAAATCTGGGCCAGAATCCAGACCCCATGGTGGTGAGGCTCTTTGTTCTCCCACAGCTTCAACCAACCCCCTCCTTTTTTAAAACTAGAATTTTCCCATAAAAGAGGTGGTGGGAGGGCAGGAACTCCAGAGTTTCGAGCACACCCCTTCCTTACCAATATGGAGGAACCAGAAAATGGGGGCAAATTAGAAAATCATCCTTGGCCTAATTTCCAGAGGAAGAAATCTCGACATTGGATACAAACAACAGATATATCAACTTCATTTCTCCCATCCACATCCCTAACCTAGAATTCAAGTTACACTCAGCCTCTACTGTGGGACTGTGGCGTGGTAATACTTGTTCCCTACAGAGGCTGTGAGGTTGCTCTAACTTTGTCTTTTAGCCAAAAACTCCACTCCCACACCATCCTACCCCCAAAAGACAGGGACTACCTAGCTCTCTGCTTTCCTACTATTTTCCTTAGTGATGTTTTTGTGAGTAGAACGGGAACAACTGAGTGTGCAGACAAGCAAATAAGCAGACAAACTCAGATCTTCATTTGTAGATAGAGGATTTCCACAAAGAGCTTGTGTCTTCATGAACACATTCAGCCTGTGTCCACAGAGATGCATGCCTGCAAACAGATTTAGCCTGTGTCCACGGAGATGCATGTCTGCAAACAGATTGAGCCTGTGTCCACAGAGATGCATGCCTGCAAACAGATCCAGCTTGTGTCCACAGAGATGCATCCCTGCAAACAGATTCAGCCTGTGTTCACAGAGATGCATGCCTGCAAACAGATTCAGCCTGTGTCCACAGAGATGCATGCCTGCAAACAGATTCAGCCTGTGTCCACAGAGATGCATGCCTGCAAACAGTGCGCAGACATATCTGCTTACATCCCTGAACCCACAGGTGAGTGTTGCTTGTACACACACACACACACACACACACACTCCCAATGAAAAAGCACATTAAGTATATCCTTTATAAGCTGGGCGAATTAAGTATATCCTTTATAAGATGAGTGTACTTGGTTCACTGTAGGACACTAAGGGTAGAATGGTTCACACAGTTGTTGCTTTGAAAAAGCACACCAGAGTCAGTTGGGTTTCCCATGGAGGCAGAGGGCCTTTTTCCATTTTCCTTCAATACACTTAAATGATTCCATCTTTTCTCCCATATCAGCAGCTTCGAGGAGACCCAGAAGCCCCCATCCCTTCTCATTTTTTTTTTTAATTTTTCCTCTAAGCTTTATCCTGGCCCATTCCCCACCACACTATTTCTGAAGTGGAGCGAAATGGTGGGGAGTGAGCATTTCAACCTGAGGCTACAGAGCCCTGCTTTCTAGGTCACCGATTGCCTCCGAAATAAGATGTAATTACTTTTCCAGTGATGCGGTATTTTCCTGGAGTGTTTAATTTTATTTTACTTGTATCACAGCGAGATACACATTTTTTTTTCCAGGGGAGTTGGGAAAAGGTAATTAACCAGCAAGGCTTTCCTTTCCACCACAGACACAAGGGCTCTTGTATGTGCCGCTCCCTTCCGTGATCCCTGTGGGTCCCAGAGAACAGGCACCAAAGATTTTGGGGAACCAAGATTTTCTAAAGATCTTCTCTAAAGAGAGTGAAATGTTCCCAGGCTCTTTCGATGTTCTTAGACTGCGGGGCGCACACACACACACACACACACACACACACACACACACACACGTCTCCCACTCCCTTTTGTGACATCTTCAATTGGTATTCTCCAAGAACCCGACGTTGTTTCCCTCTATCTTCTTCTGCTAAATTTTGGCAGAATAGAGCCTAATAAATGGAATTGTAAAGTTGCTGCGTTAATTAAATCTATCTCATTGCAATAGGGATAGTTAATGCCCTTATATAAACTTGGAAAAGAACATACCATTAATTTTATTTGTTGTGGGACCTCCCTGCACCTAGATCCTTCCTTCTCTCGGTGTTGACCTCTACTCCCAAAGACTGGGGGAAGAGTCTTTAGTTATCAGAATGGCCTGGTATTGTGCCTGCACCAGAAAGTGATCCCCAGGAATGGAAAGGTCTCTCCAGGCCCTTTGTTTCCTCTAGCTAGCCCACAGCTTGGCCCACTTCCCCGTTTCTCAAGGGGGTGCAGCACTTCATCAGAGGAAGAACAACCTCTACTACCCACTACTTAAAAGCAAAAACAAAAAACTCCATAACCCTCTTTGCCACCCACCCCTCTCAGCCAGTCTTAGACAAGGGCCCAAGTTCACCGGACCCATTCTAGACTTGGCCAGGCCTTGTTTGCTCTGTTTTTTTTTTTTTTTTTTTACCTTGACCTTGGACTACAGCAGCAGGGTAGCCAGTTTTCCAGCCCAGAGGACTCCTAAGAGACCCGGCGACTTAGCTCTCATCGATCAGCCTTCATTTTCCTTAACACTGATAAGCCCGGCCTGCCTGGGTTTCAAGTCTCTTCCTTTGGTATTTTTCTTTTTGCTGCTAGCCCAGCATGCAGCTTGCCTTCAGAACTCTGAGGAGACACTTCTGGATGAGAATCACACCGGTAAAAAGTCCATTTCTTTTCCTGACTCACCAAAGCTCTCAACCATCAGAGACCATCTTCTTCCTCCAGGGGTCTTGGGGCAGACCCCAACATTTGCCTCCAATTGAGGGGTCTAGTGGGTTGTCCTCGGAGGAGCTCACTGTTGGCAGCCTGTGTAAACATCACACTCAGCACCCAGAATTTAAAACTTGCGGCAGAGGGCGAGAATGAGGGAAGATCCAGCAGCCCCTCTCTCCCTCTTTTTTTTTTTTTTTAATTATTTTTTTCCTGCTCTCCCGCTCTTTCTTACGTCTTCCCCTGGGGAGGGGGGAGGGGTGTGTGTGAAACGGAACTTGGCGCAATCAATGGAGATGCCCCTCTGCAAAGGGGTGACTCCCTAACCAGTGAGGGGTAGAAAGCAAGGAGAAGGCTGTTAGAAAAATAAGTAACTTGGTGATTATTTGTCCTTTAGTACAAATTGTTTCAAATAGAAGACAGTTTCAGATCTAAGTACTCTGCCCTGAACAAGAGAAAAGAGATCCGGAAAGCAGTTTGTGGGAATGAGAATAAGGCTGCTTGGCCTTGAGCTCTGCCTGGCTCCTTAGCGTTCATCACCCATCAGTCCAAGCCGCTGAGGGTGGAGGGGCCTTGTGCTTGTGTGTTTAGGGTGCCCAAGAGCTGCACCTGCCAGAGGTCTAAAGGGCGGCAGGTTCTTCCCTTCTCTCCACATTTCCTTTTGTTCACCCAAAGAGACCCGGCTCTGGAAATTACTCAGGGCTTTCTCTCTGCTCATCCACTTCACTGTTTCATTGGGGGGCTAGGGGGAGGACTCTCACGCCAGTATTTCTTTTGCGTGCTGAAATAGCAATATGTCCTGCTGCCCCTTCATTTCCCTCCTTTTTCTCTTCCTCTACCGCTCGCTGAGAGTGTTCACTCGCTTTACTCTCCCGATTCCGGGATGAAGTCTGCTTTTGGGGAAACCACATCTCCCCACCATGTCTGGTACCCAAGGGAACCTTTTCCCAGACAAACTGGAGCTTGGGGAAAGCGGCTAAGGTCGGACATTGAAACTCGGCTGTCAGCGTCAAAGGCTGCCTGAACCGTTCTTGCCCACCCGGAGCTGAAGGGCACCCTGCCACCGCAGGAGCCTTCCTGGTTTCTAGCTTATTGTTATTATTAAAACTCCGGGTTTGACCCCATTCTCAGCTCCAAGCCCCAATTTAGAGACTTCGGTAGTCAAAGCCATCTGCTTGAGAATCCCAGTCGGTCTCTCCAGCGCACCACCTAAGCCTAAGGGGAGGAGCCCAGAACCTTCTTCTCCCTAGGTACCTTTGCGTCGGCCAAATTTAGCCTTTCTGTCCCCCCCCCCCCCCACTAACAAGGCTTGCTTAGGGGGCGTTGCCCCGTCCCTTTAAATCTTCCTACCCTCTCTTTTTCCTCTCCAGAGAGCCAATCAACAAACTCCCCATTACTTTCAGCCCCGCCCCACCTCCAGGAGTGGGAACCCCAAGAGACCCAGGCCTAGGGTCACGTGCTGCGGCTTCGGTCACGTGAGAACAAGGGGCTTTACGGAGAGGAGGAGGGCGGGAGCAGGCCGATTTCTTAATGAAGTGTCTCCGCATGCGTAGTGGGAATGCGGTGAGGGAGGGGGAAGCACCGGGAGGAGGAGGGGAGGGGTGGAGAAGGAAGGGAGGAGGGATGAGGGAGGGAAAAAAGGAGCGAGGTGTCTCCTTAGCTCGCTGCCTCTGGCAAGTGGAGTTTTTAAAAAGCTGGAACAGATCATGTCATGACGACTTCGCTGCTCCTGCACCCGCGCTGGCCGGAGAGCCTTATGTACGTCTATGAGGACAGCGCGCC